CTGATGCTGCTTGGCCTGCTGTGTTCATCCAGCTCTACACCTTGTTATCTCATATTCTATGATGTTGCCTGGCTGACCTCATTACAATCACTAAATACTCCATTCACCAACTTTTTGCCCACTTCCATAACCTATCCATAGTTCTTTTTATACTGTTTGTATCCATCTCGTAACGTGCCCGTTTACCTATTTTTGAATTGTCTGCAAATGTAGCTACAGTATGTTTGCTTCCTTTCTCCAAGTCATTAACATAAATCATAAGTAGTTGCAATTCCAACATTGATGCCTGTAGAACCCCACTGGTTGCAAGTTATCAACCTGAAAAAGAACCTCTTATCCCCAATTTTCTATCCATGTCAATATACTACCTCCAACACTCTGGGTTCTTACCTTATGGCTTACCTTTTGTAAGATACCTTATTGTACACCTTCTGGAAGTCCAAATACAACACACCTACTGGTTGTGCTCTATCCACTCTAGTTGAGACTTCCTCGAAAATGTCCAATAAATTAGTCAGTCACAGTTTCCCTGTCACAAAGCCATGCTGGGTCTGCTCAATTAGATAACGATTTTCCAAATATTCTGCTATTATTTCCTGATTCCAATACTTTTCCAACAATGGATGTTAGTCTAACCAGCCAATAGTTACCTGTGTTTTGCCTCCTCCCATTCTGAATAGGAGTGTCACAGTGGCAGTTTTTCAATCTTCTGGTACTTCTGCAGAAATCAAGGATTTTTGGAAAATTACAACCGATGCATCCACTATCCTGGTAGATAACACAGTGTGGAGCTGGAGGAACACAACAGGCCAGGCAGCATCAGAGGAGCAGGAAAATTCAGAAGAAGAAGGGTCCCGACCCGAAACGTCAGCTTTCCTGCTCCTCCGATGCTGCCTGGCCTGCTGTGTTCCTCCAGCTCCGCACTGTTATCTCTGACTCCAGCATCGGCAGTTTTTACTATCTCTGAGTGAGCACTATCTCTGTAGTTCTTTTTTAGGATCCTAAGATGCAAGCCACCAGGGCCAGGGGAATTACTTGGATACTTGGGATGGGGGGGGCTTATCTTCTGAGGAAACATTGAACAGGCTGAGCTTGTATCTATTGGAGTTTAGAAGAGTTAAAGCTGATCTTATTGAGACATATTAGATCCTGAGAGGACTTGACAGTTTGAAAGCTGAAAACATGTTTTCTCTAACGGAACAGTTCAACACAATAGGATGGAGTTTAAAAACAAGGGGCTTTCCATATGGAGAAACTTTTCCATTGGAGGGTTGTGAGTCTTTGGAACTCGGTCAGAGAGCAGTAAGGGCAGACTCTTTCAATATTTGTACATAAGAGATAGACAGATTCTTGACAAACAAAGGAGTTAGCAGTTAACAGGGTAGATGCAAGGAGTTGAGGTCACAATAAGATCAGCTATAAATGTATTTAATGGCAAAGAATGCTCAAGGGGCTTACTCCTACTCCTCATTCAAAGGTTCAAGTCAGGAAAAGGGGCTGCAACTTGTTCAGATGACAAGAGTGGGTTCAACTGAGTCAAGCTGAGATTTACACACACTTCTTTTGAAGAGATATTATTGATGAAGTTATTGGAGTTTTAATAAAAGCAAAACACTGCAGGTACTGGAAATCTTATATAAAAGCAGAATGGAGAAAGAAAAGCTGATAATGGGGGGCATAAGTAGGCAAAAATGGGTTGGGTATGCATAAAGCAGCCCATGTCAGGACAGGTCCTGCAGTGTGGGGTGGGTAAAGGACATAGAAGAGGTGTTCAGGTTCTAAAATTATTGAAGTCAATTTTGAGTCCTGAAGGTTGCAGGATCCATAACTAAGAAATGAGACATTGAAATGTTTCCCTAACTATTGTTCTGTTTCTCTGGGCTCCATCACTTTCCACCTGTTCAGTCCTCCTTGCTTCCCCAGCCTCTGTCTTCAGGACATATGCCACCTTTTCCTAGCTACAACTAGTTCTGAAGAAGGGTCACTGGACTCGGAACGTTAACCCTGCTTTCTCTCCAGAGATCCTGCCAGGCCTGCTGAGTTTCTGCAGCAATTGCTTTATTATTATGTAGTATCTGTCCACAATCTCCAAATCAAAATATAAGCTGAAATGTTGGCATGGCCAACAAAGAGTTAAGCATTGTTTTTACTTTACATCAGGGTCAGAATAAAGGTGATGTTTCACACATAATAACTAGCATGCATCAATTCCTATTCTGAATCGCTGAATATATTTCATACTTTGTTTCATAAATACCTCTTATGATTTTTTATAGCTTCTTTTTGCTGGATATTGATGCAATATGTGGGTGGGAACTAATTGGAGCTCCAACAATATGTGCAATTACTTTGTTTTCAACAGGTAACAACTGAACTTGACAATGAATGCACCAAAACCTTCAAAGGCACTTCAAGCGCAGCTCCAATGGCAGCTGGTATAATTGCATTGGTCCTTCAGGCTAAGTAAGTATTGTCACATGTAAACAGTTTGCAATTTAAAAAGACCATGTATATTACCAATATATTCAGCAATGTTCGAAAAAATTCTGATGTTGGGACATGGTGGGTCAGTGGTTAACGCTGCTGCCTCATAGCACCAGGGATACCAGTTCAATTCTGGCCTTGGGTGACTGTCTGTATGGAGTTTGCACATTCTCCCCGTGTCTGCTTGGGTTTCCTCCAGGTGCTCCAGTTCATCCCACAGTTCAAAGACATGCAGATTAAGTGGTTTGGTCATGCTAACTTGCCAGTAGAGTCTAGATACGTGCAGACTAGGTGGATAAGCCATGGGAAATGCTGGGTTACAGGGTTAGGGTAGGGGCCGGGTCCGAGTGGGGTTGTCTTTGGAGGGTCAGTGTGAATTTGATGGACCGAGTGGCCTGCTTCCGCGCTGTAGGGATTCTATGATTCTCTGAGTGTACTTAGATTTTCTGTGAGGTGTTCTTGACGAGAGCAAAAGAATGTTATTGGTTTTATTTAACATGATTAAACAATGTGGAAGATTTCCTTGTTGGACGCCTGCAATGTTCTCATTTCTGTTTCCCAAAGTGGCAGAATTCCTCTTGTAATGTGTAGCTAACAGAATCTTGCATTTATATGGGCTACATGAGCAGGCCAGAGGTTCAAAATTGTGTGGCAAGTAGCTCACCTGCAATGCCTGCCCACCATTTACAAGACACAAATCAGAAGTATAATGGGTTCCTGTATACTTGCCTGGATGAATGCAGCTTCAACAACATTCAAAAAGCTCAACACCTCTAGGACAAAGCAAACCACTTGATTTGCACACCAGCCATCATCTTCAGCATTCACTCCCTTCATCACAGATGCACAATGGTAACAGACATAAGATAAAATACATAAAGACAGCATCTTTCACAAATGTGACTTGTACTATCTAGAGTGCAGGTTACCCTTTGAACTGCACACCATCCTGACCTAGAACTCCATTACCTTTCCTTCATTGATGTTGGCTCAGTATCCTGGAACTCTGTTCCCACCAGCACAGTGGGTTTACCTACACCTAAGGATTACAACAGTTTAAAATTTAGCTCACCACCCATTTTTCAAGAACAGTTAGAAATGGGCAATAAATGCTGGTCTAGTCAGTGTTACCCAAATCCCATCAATAAATAAAACATAGATAACCCCCTCTCATGATCATTGCTCCTCCCAAATTGCACCACGGCGAGAAACATGTGTTTGAAATCTGGTCTATTAGTAACATAGAAAGTGTAACTGCCAATTTTGCACTGCAATGTGCCACAAACTGCAATGTCACAGAGAATATTATCTGTTACAGATCATTTTCTTTTTGCTGATGTTGAGTGAAAGATAAATATTGGTCAGAAAAATAGGGACAATTCTCATGCTCTTTTTTGAGTAGCATCAGGAATTGTTTATGCTTACCTATGAAAAGGTAAATGACAGCCAGTGTGCCTTTGATGTCAATGTTGATCATCTCCATGATGGATGTCTAAACTTGCTAGGATCTACATCGCCAAGAAGGTTAACAATTTCAGTGTATTTTTGCTTTGTTTCTCAGTTTTCTACAGCAGTGTGCTATTCATGGTTTGATCTTTACCTTCATAAGCACTATTGTCTAGGAGAGTCACTCTGTGGCTTGGGTTTTGTTCTAATATTTCCTCTCGGGACAAAATGTAAGCTAGTTGGGTGAGTTTGTCTGTGTTTACTAGTTAGAAGATAAAGGATTACAAATAAACAAAGGAAAGATGCCCAGAAGTTGAGATTATGCCAAGAATGACATTACCATAGGTATTGTTTCTCTCCAAGAAATATTTGTCAACAAAAGAACAGTTTTGGATTTGTCTCAGGAATTGGGATCGACACTTCATAAGGTAAACCTTGACTGAGGATTGCCAGCCACATGTTGCAAACTGATTTTCATTCAAGCTCCAGTGTAGATATGGAGCTACTGGTTCATTATTTGTGGCAACAAAAAGGATGCAAGGTTGGCTGCTTGGTCACCAAGATTACACACTGAAGCTATGTTCGTTGACAAGTCTCCAGGAACCATGATTACCAGTGAGTCACAATAGTGCTAATGTACACACCGTCACAAGAACTGTAATAGAATACACTGTAGAAAGCAGTGCTACAGGCGCATTGAGAGGTTGAAAGCGGGAGTACTCTAATAGTGATCAGTAAAGGACTCCTAGATCGCCATTAGCCTCAGCAATACTTTGCAAAGTAGCAAGGGAATTGCATAGTGTAGGTGGTGGAAGAGAATAACTTATCCTCGCCCAGAATGCGAACAACATTAATCGGAAAGAACAGAAGATCTTTCTCAAACTATCTTTACACTTTACCATAGTCATAAGTAGATTTTCACAAAAAAGATCTTCCTCTGATGATTCCCTCCACACATCTTCATGTATTCACAGTTCCATTGCAAAATAAACCTTCACTTACCAGTCCAAATTGCTGCATCTGAAGTATGGTTCCAATACCTTTCTTCTCCTAATTTATTAGTACACAATGCATAGTCAAAATGCAGAGATGGTCAGCAATTGGTTAAAATGTGACAAGAACTGGACAATTTTAAGGTTTTGGGCAAATAAGAGGCATGTATCATTTGATGTCCACAAGTGGTGGCAGTGACTATCTTCAACAAGGGGGAATCTAGCCATCACCACTTGACATTCAATCATTATCATCACAGAGTCTCCCACTATCAACATAATTGACCAGAACCTGAAATGGAGCAATCGTGTAAATATGTGTCTATGACAGCCGCCCGGGGCTGGGAATTCTACAGTGAATAACTGTCCCATTGACTCCTCAAAGCCTGGACATCATCTATAGAAACAAGTCAGAAATGTGATGGAGTTATCCCCAATGACCTGGATAAGTGCAACTCCAACAACACCCAGTATGGCCTACGGTATCCGAGAGAAAGCAGCTCATCGATTAGTACCACATCCACCACCTTCCACGTTCTCTCCCTTCATCACAGACGCAGAGTGGCGGTAGTGTGTACTTTAACAAAAGCACTTCAAGATCACCAAGGCTCCTTAGACAGCACCCCACAAACCTGCAAACTCAACTACGTGGAAGGACAAGGACAGCAGATACATGGAAATACCACCGCCTGCCAGTTCTCCTTCAAACTGCACATCATCCTATTTTACACCTATATTGTGGCCTGTTCATGATCACTGTGACAAAATCCTGGAACTCCTTCCCTAACAGCACCACGTGTGTAGCCACAGCACATTAACTGCAGCAGATCAAGAAGGCAGCTTGCCTTCTCTAGGGCAATAAGGTGTGCATTTTTGTTTCTACGTCAAATAATGGGCAGAGTGTGAACAATTACAGAGCCAAATGAGAGACTTAACAGTGACTAGATGGAGTTCTTTAACCTGCCTCCATGCTTTGTCAGTGGACAGTCCTTGATAACATGAGTTATTGAACTGAATTGCAGCTGCAGCCGATATCATATTGATGATTCCACTGAGGTTGGGTGGCTGCACAGAGGCTTTGATCTATCTGGTAAATGGTTAAAAGGGCCCACTGGCTTCATGGGAGATCAAAGCAGTGTGGGATTTCCATAAAAGTGATGTGACAAGGTGCCACATCAAAGGTTACCATGCAAAGGTAATGTTAAACAGGATAAGGTGATAACCTGGGTAGGAGATTATTTAATAACATGGATAGGGAATTGGTTAGCCAACAGGTTTTAATAGGCTCTTTTTGGATTGACAATACATGATGGATCAATAATGGGGATTCAACTACTCAGAATTATATTAACGATTAATTATATTTTGGATGAAGAGACCAATAACATGTTTGCTAAATTTGCTGATGACATATAGTTAAGAAAGTAAGTTGTGAAGAAGAGGTAAGGAATCTGCAAATGGAAAGGGTGGAAAATTAAATGAGTGGTGAAACATTTGGAAGATGGAATTTAGTTAAGAAAAATGTCTCCTTTGGCAGGAAGCCAAGAAAGGTAGCGTAATGTTTAAATAGCGAGAAATTGCAGTACTCTCAGATATAGAAGGATATGGGTGGCCGAGTACATGAACCACAGGAAGTGAGTATGTGAGTACAACTGCGCTTTAGGAAAGATGTGATTGCGTTGGAGGGATTTCAGAAGAAATTCAAAAGGATGTTGCCTGAGATGGAACATTTTAGCAATGGAGAGAGGCTGGATAAGCTCAGGTTGTTTTCTTTGGAGCAGAGAGGACGAAGCGGGAACCTGATAGATGTGTTTGAAGATTATAAGGGTCATGGATGGGTTGGATAGGAAGCAGATGTTCACCTTAGTTGAAAGTGAGACACACTTTTAAGGTGCAATGCAACACGTTTAGAGGGGATTTGAGGAAAGAGTGTTCAACCCAGAGGGTGGCGGGTATCTGGAATGCACTGTCTTGGAGGGTAGTTGAGGCAGGAAACCTCACAACTTTCAAACCACAATCTTTAACTATGATGAGTGGTTTTGGTTGGATGTTTTCTTCTGCCTAACCTCCTGCCATAGATCCACATCTGTTCGTCCCTGGCTTTTTGTATTTAGCCATATGTGGTATCACCATATAAGTTTATCCACCAACTACAAGGCCCAAGTCAGAAATGTGTTGGATTAACCCTGCTTGCATGGATGAGTGCAGCTCTGACAACACTCAAGAAGCTTGACACCATTCAAGCCAAAATCATCCACTGATAGTCACCAAACACAAACATTTAATCCATTTGCCACCAATGATCAGTAGCAACAATGTGTACCATTTACAAAATACAGTACAGAAATTCACCAAGGCCCTTTAGACAGCATCTTGCAGACCCATGGGCATTACCATCAAGAAGGATAAGGGCAGCAGATACATGGGAACACCACTGCGTGTAAGTTCCCCTCCATGCCACTCATCTTCCTGATATGGAAATATATTGCCATTCCTTCAGTGTCACTGGGTTATTGACACTGGAATAATAACCTGAAATTC